AGCGCGACGCGGTAGACGCTCAGGTGCCATGCGTAGGACGTGATCGAGCCATCTTAACTGGCGCAACAAAACCAGTTTGTTGAAGGGAATACTCGCATTCCCCAAGATGCGACGTCGAACGTCATTACTATTAACTCTATGTTGCCACCAAACACCAGCGATCCTCCTTAAGCAACCGTTATCAAAGGCAGAAAGACGACGCATGTCTTGCACGCGAATCGGCCAGGACTCGCACCCATACAACAATACTGAGCTAACTGATGCTGTAAACGCGGCCCTTTAGTGATAATGAGACGTCACGACGACGCCACAAGTGCCTCAGATTGACAAATGCTGATCGAGCTTTAGCGATACGAGCAGAAACTTCTTTGTTGATAGTGCCGTCAGCAGAAACACAGCTCCCAAGGTAGACGAAACTATCTACCAGTTCAAGTTGTGCACCTTCGAGAGTGAGCACGGGAGCAGGTGAAAGCCAATCCTGCAGCAGTACTTTACACTTCGATGGGGCGAAGCTCATGCCATACTTAGATGCTTCAACTGCCAAACGATCCAGAATGAGTTGCATACTCTGAGGATCGTCACTAAGAAAGGCGATATCATCAGCATAATCTAAGTCGGTCGCGCGCTCACCGGGTAGAAGCTCTAGGCTAAAATGTTGAAAACCTTTTAGAGCATTCGACAAAACGTCTTCGATTGCAAAGTTGGATAAGCATGAGGACATAGAGCAACCCTGTCGCACACCGCTATTGACAACGAATTGTGAGGAAAGCTTGCCATAGACCCTCACTCTGCCGGATGTATGAAGGTAAAGTGCTCGTAAGACGGCGGTATATTTCTCTGGTACCCCCTTCTTTAGCAAGCAACGCTATAAAGCAGGTCGGTCAACGCAGTCTAGGAATACAACGATAATGGGCCTGTGATAAATGTGGCGATGTTCGAGGAGCTGGCGGAGCGTGAACATTTAATCCACGTATCCGCGGCCAGGACGGAAACCAGCTTGTTCTTCACGGTAGTATGATTCACTTACTGGGGATAGTCTGCGAAGCGGAATGGATGCCAATAGCTTAGAGGCAACCGAAATAAGACTAATCCCGCGATGATTTGCACATGAAGTGCGAGCGCCTCTCTTGAAAACGAGGCAATAACTGATTCGCTTCAACAGGAAGGCACTTTCTCTTCATGCCAACTTTTTGCGAACAGCGCGGTCAGCTGGTTAATGATCGCCACACTGCCGTACTTGAATAGCTCCAGAGGAAGTCCGTCTGAGCCGGCAGCCTTGAAGCGCTTCAAGCGTCGAATCTCGAGGCAGTCTTCCGCTTCGCTGAGTGGATCCAGTGGGACGAGCCAGGGTGGACAACAAGGTTTACTGCATGTTCTGATGGATGGTGGAGGCCAGTTGAACTGTGAATGAAAGTGCTCGGCCCAGCGGTCCATACGCCTCTGTTGGTTGGTGATCGGAGACTCATCCACCTCACAAATGACCTCATTGACACCATGCTTCCTGAGGCCAGTGGACCGAATGAGTTGGAAGACTCTGCGAGTGTTGCCAGAGAGGGCAGCAGTCTCCATCTTTAAAGCACGCTCAGACCACCATGTCTCGCGATCCTTGCTTAGGCTTTGCTTGAGCAGCTGGTTGGCAGAACGGTGCCGCTCGTTGAAATCTGATTCCGCGGGGATATCTTTGCGGCGTTGGAACAGCTCCAGAGAACGAGCAGAGATCCAAGCCTTCAAGGGACGTCGCGTTAGACCGCAGCATGTCTGTCCGGAAATGGTCATCGCTTTCCGTATACAAGTCCAGTGTTGTTCCACTTCTCGCGGTGGATTGCAACTGAGTGCATATGCCAGTGAAGATTGATAGCTCTCCTGGATAGAGGAATCAGTTAATCTGTTTACATCAATCTTGCGGTGCTTCGTGTTTCGGGATCCTCCAAAACACATACAGATTTTCGCGCAGACCAGAGCATGATCTGAATCAACGAAAGTGGACCAAAAGGACCTGCAGTCCAGTACGCTGCCGCGCCATCTGCAGCTAATTGCAATGTGATCAATTTGAGACCACGGTTGTGTTGAAGAAGGGGGACGCCACGTTGCGGAACGCTTCTTCGTACGGCTGAAGTTAGTGCTCGAAAGAAACAGACGGTTGTCTTCGCACAATGTGAGAAGTCTCTCTCCGTTATCAGAGCGGTTCTCATCGAGCGCGTGATGACCACCAAAGTGGCGTTCGTATGGTAACAGACGGCCAACTCGTGCATTAAAATCTCCAGCAAGGATAACGACATCCGACTTTTTAGCATTAGTCAAGAGCTGTTGTAGATCTCGGTAGAAATCGTCCTTGATCGAGTCGCTACCGCAGTCAGTTGGGGCCTACACGGAGATCACAAACAAGTTTCGTCTCTCTTGGTGGTGCTTGTTGATTCTACGTGAACCCCGAAGCCGAACTGCACATAGTCGGCTGTTAATAGGGAACCAGTCCAGTAGTGCCGCTTCGGCCTTGCCACTTAGTGCTATACCTACACCAGCCAAACCCGCTGAGGCTGCTTCTGGATCTCCAGAAAAACGCAGGTGATATCTGGCTTCGTGGTCAGTGGGGGATGTCAATGTAAGCACAGTGCTGGGATCTTGCAATCGGGTTTCTGAAAGGCGGCAGACATCAACGTCTAGGGAATCTAGGGTGCGCGCTAGACCGGCTTGCTGTCCATTCTGCATGAGTGTCCGAACGTTGAAGCACGCCAGACAGAACGAGGATCGGGAACGAAGGAGAGCCATAGGTTGAACTCCTTGGTCTGCGGCGCAACCGGAATCGCAGCCAGATTGTTGAACACATGAATCAGATAACGGAACTAGAGGATTGTTAGCAAACAAACTTGGCGTGTGATGAAGTCGCGTGAAAGTGAGTAACAGAAACAGTAGCTGATGTGCACGTTGTAATACAGTCCAAGGTTTTGCGAGAGGGCGTGATACTACCCGGTTGCCTAAGCCGAAGTAGGGAGTTGACTTAGGAGACTCCATCCCGAGCGTCGGCCGGTGGCCGAGTGGTCTGCACGTTTGCTTTGCAACCATAAGGTCACCGGTTCGAATCCGCGTAGGGGTGGGCGTCCTCGCGGTATACTCAGCCCGCGCGCGACGTGTTGGTTGCGCGGCAGCGAAGCGCCGTTACGGCGTACAGTTGACACATTATTATTATTATTATTATTATTATTATTATTATTATCCCGAGCGTTCGGCTAAATAACCTACCCGCAAGACAGCGGGGCGAATTTAGGGAATTGCGCCCAATGGGAAGCGTTGACTGAATGATCAGTTCATGCGTCTTTGTTTGGTAGATTACCAAACAGTGGCCCAATACTCCCCATGAAGTCAGCACAATTGCTGGAATACAATGCCCCACGGAGGTGGAACCTTGTCGCCGAACACTTTGCTGGAACAGGGTACACCGGAACCACCCAGCTGGCACCACGAGGAAGTAGTTCGGCAAGCCAGCCGGGTAGTATCACGCCCTATCGCGAAACCATGGACTGTATTATAATGTGCCCATCAGCTACTGTTTCTGCTACTCACTTTCACGTGACTTCATCACTAAGCCAACTCCCTACTTCGGCTTGGGCGACCATGTAGTATCACGCCCTCTCGCAAAACTATGGACTGTATTACGACGTGCACATCAGTTACTGTTATCAATCAATCAAACAGTTTGGTCACGTTCTGTGTAGTGACAAGAACCTGCTGATGGCTTTCCGAAATTCGTGTTCAAGACTGCAGGCAAGTATTCCGAGTGGTGGCTTTTTCCACACTGGCGTGCATGTTGAAAAAAAAACTTGGCAGAAATGTTGCCCCTGAGCTTGCATTCCGTCTCTGAGTTATTTTTTTCGTGTGTTGTAAACTACTCGGTTGCATTAATTTCACGTTGAGGCTGGAAGCATGTAAATTTCTGTGCATATGTTAAAGAATATAACTAGTTTATGCTACATGCGCCGTAGCCAAAGCATATGAAGCTTGGGCTTCTCACATCGTTCAGCATATTCCAGTTTTGAAGATGCACTTAGAACACGTTTTCTGAATGCTCTCTGTACTTGTTCCAATACAATGCGGTCGCGGTTTTTTGAGCTGCTGTGTGCATCATTGAACAATATTCCAACGTGGGTCGAACAAACTAATTTGTAAGAATGAAGTATTGTTTCATGTAAGGAAAAGTCATGCATACCAGTTGCACACTGCCAATCGAATATGCTCCTGATTTTACTCAGCCCTTGCTTACTTCGTTCAGTCTTAACTCTATATGAAAGCCACTAGCGGTGTTTTCATTTTTTGATACTCAACCGAGCAGCCACCACACATCAAGTTGAGCACTAGACGGCTGTTTCGTCCTTTTGGCACTCGTCGATAACGCGCACCCGCCGATTCCTTCCAGATACGAACCCATGACCCTAATCGTACGAGCCAACGACTTTGCCACCGAACCATGTGTGTTTCCATTTTTCAACGACTAAGGGACTCTTCACTATTTATCTGGTGGTAGCTGTTCCTGAAACCGCATTTTTAACTCACCCGCGTGCTACATACATCGTAAGTTGCCTCAGTTTTTATGTTAGCGCCAACATGTAGTCTCATGCTTCCCTTGCATCTTCATGTCTTCCATCCTCTTCGCTGTTAAAATTCGGTTACCATGACCTTACGTTTCAACATCCAGCACATGTGGCTTCTCGATTCCATGTCAAATAGACCACCCCAGTTCCCTTTTCATGAATGTTTAACTTCAATGTGGGTTTTCATTCGGAATCGCCATTTTCGCTATTTTGTTTCGGTAACATGCTTTCAATCTCACTGCATTGCCGATTTTTCGTTGTCTGAATCGTCCAAGCACATCATTGGCTGTGGTCGGTCTGTCAGATACCTCCTGATTTTCTCCTTGTTTGCTAGTCCACTTTTCCTACCTTCATCCCATATCACAACTTGTCATTTCTCTTCTTATCCACTATGAAAACGCGTTCCACTCGTCTCAGGTATTCAGCTCCCTCCAAAATGGGATTCCGCTGTTGTGCACAGCTTGCAGCGTCCTGGCATTGCACTGGGCTGCTTCGCGTATCGTCTTCACCTGCCGGATAAGTATGTGTATCGCAAGAGCTTAAAGTGGGCGGCGAGTTGCTATATCGCTGACTACCTGGTGCATCTGCAGACACGTTGGTGAGCCATTGCTGTTACCTACTTTGCGTTTTTCTCCTTTACGCATGTTCGGCTTTCAGGGTATTCCCGTTCTTCTACTGGAGAACACTTTACACGCTAAGCGTATGGTTGTGCTGCCTCTTGCTTACCGGGGTTTACTGTGGAAGGTTCGTCGCAGCGGCCATTCCACGTCATAAGGGAGACTTCGATGTTGCCCGCTGTTTACCAGTCTCGATCCACTGTCGTTGGCCGGTTGGATAGCGGGGTTGCCTGGTAATCCACTAGTCTTCGGATCGAATTTGCACTGCTGCGGGATACCTCGAATTATCCCTAACTTGCTCACAACGTGTGGTTGTCATGCGACCGCGAAGCGTCGGTACGACTCTTCGGCGTGCTACTCATGCCTTTTGGAAGCTTATTTTTCTGCCACTTGGATATTTGCATGCGTATTTACCTGGGTATTTCACCATAGATTGTTCATCTGCTATATCGCAATCAGTTGCCTTAATTTCTGCTGCTCACGCCACTTGTTAGCAATCACTGTTATCCATTACCAGCTGATTCCTGTTCTCACCATTCTACTTCCGATGGTTTCTTCGACGTCCATAGAGCTCGTCCAGTGGCTCTGCTTCGGCGTCGGTCCTCGTTCCGTATGGTATGCTTTAATCCTTTCGCACATAGAGGTCACTGTAGTGGATGGCTAGCATTGGCTCGGTTCACAGCTACACAAGCGTTTTCATGGCCTTTGATGCGCTCAGTCCACCGCAGAGACATTGCCCTGTGTGATGTAACCATTGCCAACGCGGTACATTTTCTTCTACTGTCTAGTCAAGATGGCGGACAAATCGATATCTGATACACGTAATTCATGTGCGAAAAGGTTAATGCACGTACACTCACGCAGATCAGGTAGCAGATTGGTCTTGCGCGCACCTTGGAATCCCTCGCCATCGATGTTTGCTGCTTTTCCGAAACGCGCTTGCAAGATCCCAGTACTTTGATTGCGTTGCGATCTCCCACCGACAATGGCACAGAAGTAGCTGCCGTAGGTATCCATCGTAACTTATTCCGTCTGATACGGGAAACGGGCGGCGGGAGACCTGGTGTTAGTGAGACCATATGCGACGAGAGTGGACAGCTAGTCCACAGCTTGTCAAAGCGCTTGAAGCGTTGGGCCGAACGCTGAGAATCAGTTCACTTAGTCAGAGTTATCGGCTTCTCCACCGGCCATTGATCGCCCTACTCTCTGGGCCGTCCCCGCGGATCCGCCCTCACGCACAGAAATCGAACGTGAGATCAGACTGTTGAACTTGAATAAGGCCGCAGAGGCAGATGGAATTCCTCTTGGTCTCTGCAAATTCGGCAGACCTGCTCTTGTAGATGATTTACACGAGTTACTAGTGAAACTGGGAGCAGTAAACTATCCTAACAGACTGGAGCCGCTCCATTATATTCCCAATTTTCAAGAAAGGCTCTCGTTCGGAATGTGGTAATCATAAAGGGGTCAGTCTGATCTTAATTGCTTTTAACTTGCTTGCGTCTGTCGTTCTCCACAGACTGACTGGCACTAGTTAAAATCTGATTCGCGGGGAACAAGCTGGGTTTCGTCGAAAGCATTGCTGCATCGGCCTCATCTTTACGTCAATTGTTGGAGCATCGCCATATTTATTGGCGACCCACCGTAGTCGTGTTTCTCGACATTAAAGGTGCCTTCGATCCGGTTGCTCAAGGTGTCCTTTGGGACTGTCTGCTCAAGAAGGTGCCCGAAAAAAACACCATCAGAGCACTGTAAGCGCAGAGTGAGAATTTATGTAAACTTTCGCCGCCCTTCAACTCTCCAGCGGTGTGAGACAAGGTTGCCCGCTATCAACTTTCCTCTTTAACTACGCTATTGACGAAGTCATGAAAACATCGTTCGCAGGGCACAACTTACAGGGTGTGGGGCTGCATCCTGGTGATCAACTTCTTGACTTGGAGTATGCTGACGACATTTACCTCATATGTGACAACACCCAAAGGTTCCATGTAGCACTGAACAAATTAGCACTGGCTGTCAATTGTTTTAGACTATGCTTTGCTACCATAAAATGCAAATTCCTTCTCCAAGATTGGCAATGGGCTAACCCTTCGCTGACTCTTGGTGGTGATCAGCTAGAAATCGTTCAGGAGTTCAAGTTCTTGGGTAGCTATGTTATTAAGTGAGGTTCTTCGCGGCCAGTTTCCAAATCAGATAGTCGTCCACATGCCCGGAAAAGCACTAGACTGCAGTTTCAGCCTGTTGGGTATCATCAGTAGTGCGCATCCATCGGATCCATCAGGATTCGAACCCATGACCACCAGCGGCTTGAACCGCCAGTCAGCAGCTTATGCCACTGGGCCACGGGGGACAGCTTCGGACCGTCATGATTTACAAGCTAACTGCTATATAGCGCGTCTTATCCTCCACTGCCATGCAAGTTACGAACGTTGCAGAGACCAGGATTGGCCCCGAAAGACACGACGTCCACTAACCGTAGCTATGTACGACATAGCATTTAGAAACTGTCAGGGCGGTCATGGGTTCGAATCCTGATGGATCCGATGGATGCGCACTACTGATGATACCCAACAGGCTGAAACTGCAGTCTAGTGCTTTTCCGGGCATGTGGACGACTATCTGATTTGGAAACTGGCTGCGATGAACCTTACATAATTACATCTAACTCCCCTACTCATGAGTAGCTATGTTAGTACCCGTGAGATTGAACAGGAGGTAACGAATCGTATCAAAAAAGCTTAAGGTATTTTTGCCAATATCCGCCATCTCCGGCGCCGGCGCGACATCACTCTCGCCCTGAAGGGCTGTTTATGAAGCAGCGGTCCATTCAATCCTCCTGTACTGTTACGAAACCTGGCCCATTAGATCAGCCGACATAAAGAGGCTAGTTAAGTTCGACCATCGCTGGTGGGAGCACCGCGTGAGCAATGGGCGTGTTCGGCGTCATGTATTTGATGCAGGAAGAGCGAGTGATTCACTCAGCACCATTATGTCATGCACCAGACTCCGAAGACTAAGCCACATGTTGCGTATGCTAGCCCCCTGACTCCCACGACGTTCGTTGTTTGCGCGTCCGAGGTCTGGATGGAAGAGGAGTAGCGGAGGCCAGGCGATGACAGCCAGAAGAATGAAAACCCTCACTTCGAAGTTGGCGTTGGTTGGTACATCCCGATTACTGGGCTGGGGTCCGAAAAACGATGAATAGGTGTTGTTTGACACACTTGCTGGCATGACTAAGAGGCGGCCGCAGTGACGTTGGTGCTGTGAGTTTCTTTGTCTATTCCCCTCCAATCACGATCTCCTAGCAAATTAATAATATTTTTATCATTAGGATACGGGATTTTTGTGGAGTTATTTTTAGTTTCTTATATGTTTTGCATTGATGAGGTGTGTTTCTCACTCTCAGCTAACGTGTATTGATGATGAGCTGCGGCAATTTTGGCTAGCGTTGGTGTAGCGCTAAACAGTAAAGCCGAGGCCGCGCTGCCTTACTGGCTTTCCATTAATAGCCGACTGTGTGTACTTCGACTTCGGGGATCAGGCAGGATCAACAGACCTCGTGAGGAGAGATGCAATTTGTTTGCAATCCCAGCTTAAGCTCCAGCTGACTGCAGTTCCGACTCGGTCAATCATCAACAGCAGTACATAGCCATGTGAACTGGTGAATAAAGAATAATAAGTGGGAGAGAAGGGGAACTTGCCTGAAAACCTTAATGTCAGTAACAAACATTCGGGGTCAAGGCATCTACACCTTGTGTAGACAACATACCGTCCCAAACAGCTGGCTATCGTGTAAAGATAAGGTGGCATCGGCGAGACAGCTTCCTTGCGGCTTTCACTGCCCCGCGTCATAATCAGCCATTACCCCGCAGATAACTCAGCACCAAACACTCTTTAAACAGACAATCCGATTAGGAGACGGCAGCAGACGCGCCACTGGTGTCGGTTGCGAGCCATGTCCTGTAAAGTCTCAAGCCAAGCACAAGGTGAGTCACGTGGACTCCAACCCGGAAGGCGAGACGGACCAACGGCACCCAGTTTGGTCGTCAGTGACTTCATTTCCCGCTGCCAAGTCAACTTCTGTCCACCTCGAGCTTTGCGCCATCCTACACCTGGCAGACCAAACAAGACCCTCATACGTAGCACGTGCCCAAGTCAATGCAACTTATTCAATGATATCTGTTTCTCTAGGGAGTTAACGTGATTATCACTACCTAGTACTCGCCTACGCACATCATCGTTGCGGACACGCTGGTGCCATCAGACGCCAGCAATGCCATGCAGACAACGATTATCAAAGACTTGAACGCACCTCAGAACATCAGATGACAGGGGCCAAGTTTCACTCCCATAGAGCAGGACGACCCTGACTGTGGCCTTGTATACACGGCTTTTCAGACGGAGAAACTCCTGTAGCCAAAAATGCCGCAGGTTCAAGAAGGCAGCTCTGGCCTTTGCAATGCGTGAACTGACTTCCGTTTCTATGCGTCCATCGTTGCTGATGCAGCTGCCAAGGTAAGTAAATCGATCATCCATCTCGAGTTCCTAGTTACCAAGAGTTAACGGATCATCAACTGGCTGGTGGTCCTGCAGCGACGCTTTTCACTTTGAAGGTGCGAAGCGCATACGAAATACTGGGCCCACTCTAGACAGGCTATTCACAGTTAATTGTGCCGCCGCAACATCGTCGAAAAGCAAGAAGATATCGTCCGCATACCCAAGGTCAACTAAGCTTTCACCAGGCAGCACTTCGACGCCTACATCTTGCGATTCCGCAAGGGAACATTCCATGATAAAGCTCACGACCAAATTGAACAAAATCGCGGAAACCGGACAACTCTGACGAACTCCACTTGTGGTCGGATAGTTATCTGATATTCCACCGTAGACCCTAACGCGGCCTGTAGTCTTCGAGTATAGAGCACGAAGGATGTTCACATATTTCGTGGAAACAGCTCGGCGCGCAAGTATTTCGAACAG